GGGGGGGAGACCGGTTTGGTGCGTACTAGTTAATGCCTTGACCCCTTTTTTTTACACCGCACACAGGCCACATACCCGACTACGCTCGAAACGGAAGTCATACAGTCGCGGTTTAAATCTGAGCTTGTTCGTCAGAACAGCCATTGCTTCCCTCGAGTGTTAGGGCAAGTGAATTGCACCCCGTTGTTTTTTTGTTGACTTTTGCACCCATCTTTTCCCTCGCGGTCCTCCTCTCTGTACCGGTCCCGACACAACCACCACAGGCGACGCGTGTTGATCGTTCCACGCCGTGTCGTTGCTGTTGCTGTTGTTGTTGCTCTCGTCTGTGTGAATAGCCTCGAGAGCGTGCTAGACGCGCGGTGCTCAACTCGGTCGCCGCCGCCCCCCCCCCCACCAATGTCACGATCTGACACACGCACACGTCGGCTATGTCCTTGACGGGAAGCTGGTGTCTCGCAGCACCGTCGACGAGGCACACTGCATCGCCAAGGCGGCGGCCTCAGATTGAGGGAGACCAGCGCCTCGGTGATGCAATGCGCCTCGTCGACGGTGCTGCGAGACACCAGCTTTCCGTCAAGGACACAGCCGACGATGGCTGTGTGTGTGGTAAAAACCCGGGTGTCAGTCGTCGTGCGTTGTTGTTGTTGATGATGGATGCTCTTGATGCTGTTGTTATTTTTGTTGCTGCTGGTGGAATATTCTCTGATGCGTTTTTGCTCTGTGAAATCTCCCGGAGATCCTAAACACCGCAACGATTTCTTTTTCGTGTCGGTGTGCGTGTTTTGGCTCAAGCATTTTTTTTTTTTTTTTTGCGGCTGGCCTGTGTATGTAATCCATGCAGAAGAGCCAAATGTCGTCAATGAAATCCAGGGGCAACACCACCCTGTTCACAGCCAAAACTCAGCTCGGCTGTTGCGAGGGACGAGACTCTTTGGAAAGATCTCTGCATACGAGGCCGTGCCTCCACTGCTGTGCGTGCTTGTTTTGTTAGCATTGACCGCGCTAACCGGCTGACCAATTATGAAGATTTCAGTCTCATAATATCAGGGTAAGGATCGCGAACAACATTTATTTCTTGTCATCGGGGGTACGCGGCCGGGGGGACGAAGTTGGACGGCAAGGTCCAGTCTCCAGACCAAAAGTAACTGTCCAGAGGAGAAGACGCAAGGCCACCAAGTAGCACTTCCTGCTGCTTGTAGATGTCTTCTATTGTGCACGGTTGTGTGCTGAGTGCTCGGTTCGTGAGACGACACGACGTTCCCTCGGCGATTGCTTTTTCTTTTTTTCGTTCTTCTTATGCATATTTGCCCCAAAAATACTTTTTTCTCTCTCGGAAAACGACGATGACGTCGATAACGACGAGCAGTGCGGGTCGATGGCGGCCCTGATGGTACTCCAGAAGCCGATGCTGGCGGTCTACCCCCCCGCCACCCTGACGGCGTGGTACTACGCGGTCGGGTCGGCGCTAACGCTGGTGGTGTGCGGCTTCTTCGGTGTGCGGCCGGTGGACTTTTTGCTAACGGGGCAGTGGGAGGTAAGCAAGCTGTTTTTTTTTTTTTTCTCCCATCATTGGACTCTGTCGTCTGCCCCACTGGCCCCTATCCTCCACTTCTACTAGCTAGACGACCCAACCGGGGTCACATAGGAGGGGGGGGCTGGACCCCCTCCTGCGGTTCCTGCCTGAGGTATTTTTATCGCGAGAAGGGTACAGCAATCCCTTCCCTCGCGACTTACGAAGTCGATTATGGTTTACTAACAAACGAGCTTTGCAGCGCGTCGCTTTCATCCTAGACCAAAACCTCTCTCTGCCGGGACCCGAACCCATGACCTGGCCCTTAGCAGGCTGCGAGGCTACCCACTAGACCACCGGGGCGACCGCTGTGTATGGCGCTGATTTTTGTCTTTTTATTTTATTGGGTGACCGCTGCGCTAAGCCGCAGTTCTCGCCTCCGTTCGTCATGTTTGTTGGTGTTGTTGTTGTTGGTGGTGGTGGTATTTTTGCTTCTGCTGCTCTTGTCGTTGTCAATAAATAGTTGTTTTCGGGTTGATGGTAGTGTTGTTTTGGTGGTGATGTTGGTATTTGTCCAAATTTCTTTATGGAATATCCCGGTTCGCCGCTGGCGCGCTTCGTCCTGTGTGCTCGCTGTGCCGCTCTAAACCGTTATAGCAATACGCATGCTCTTCATAGACTCTTGTGGACACCCTCTTTTCCGCTCTCCTGCACACCCTCCTCCCTCACCGTCTTGTTTCGAACGAGGGCAGCCGTGGATAGCTCTCGTGTACGCGGTGGTGGTTGGGACAGTCTACACCTACAACGCCTATTCGTGGGTGCTAAACATCGTATCGACGACGACGGCTACGACCTACCTGTGAGTGTTACCCTCAATCGTACCTTGGTTATTTTCGAGGTTGCATGGGGTCTGTGGCGATGTTAATGGGAGGGGGGGGGGGCGGGGAGTGACGAGCAGCAGTGACGACTTTCACGGTGTTACGTGTCACGGGAGAGAAGATTCACCGACATCTGTCCTTTCAGACTCCCAGGCTTTGCTCACACTTCGCGCCCTTTTTCTCCCGACTCAAGAACCAAAAGTGTCACACAAGAGAATCAATCATGTGCGAATGACGAAAGCCAACGGCAAGGGCTGCTGTTGCTATTACCACGCAGAAGACCGACCCGTCGCTCGCCAGCGGCCCCTTGTGTCTTGCTGGCCCGTACGCCGTTTGTGCTCCGCCCTCCCACTTCACCGATGACGACCATGGCACTGCTACCACTCAACAACAACAACAACACAGGACCCTGCAGCCGGTGACCACCGTTATCCTGTCCGTGGTGTTCCTGAACACGGCGGTAAGGGGGCACGAAGTTTGCGGGGGAATCGTGATCGCGGTCGGTCTCTTGGTGACTATCTACGCCAAGGGGCTGGAGCGGCGAGGGAGCAACAACCTTCTCAGGGCCAAGCAGAACAGGTGGGGGTGACCGTCCCCGCGTCAGCACCTGGTCCCGGCAATAGTATACGCCCGAGTACCGATCGTTACGGAGGGTAGCGCGATATGGGGGAGTGTTTTGTTTTTTCGTCACTTCAAATCAGCGCCCACAGCACTAGTGCCGTTTACTCCAACCCGTGGTCACACAGACGAGCCCCTCTCCACCCTCCCCTCCTGCGGTACTTTGCCTTCGATTTTTAATGCGACAAGAGTTCAGCACTCTCTTCCCTCTGTGTACACACGAACTAGCATTATCCACTAGGCCAGGAGCGGAAGCGAGAGAAAAACTCACCTTAGCAAGAAAAGCTCGCTTGAGCCGGGATTCGGACCCCTGAGCTGATCTCTAGAAGGGTTCGAGGATACCAACTAGACCACCGGGGCGACCGGTCTTTTGCCTGTGCGCCAATCGTATGTTACCGAAGCATGAAGCATGGGGCGTTGTCGCTGGAACAAAAAATTCAGCTCCACTTGTAGTTTTTTTCCCGTTGTTGTCCGGGCCTAATGCACGCTGCTGTGTGTATGTGTGTGTTTATTAACATCGACCGCGCTAGCAAAGCAGCAGCTTGTCGCGCGTGCACATTGCCAGCCGATGTTTTGGGCTGGAAGGTTGTTTGGTTGTTTGGTTGATTACCGCCGCCTCGCTCTGGGCATGGACAGCCTCGTTTAGAGGGTGGGATTGTCCCCCGTCCTTACTTCAATGTCCAACGTCTTTCCTTTCTCTTTCTCTCTCTCTCTGTCTCTCTCTCTCTCTATCTCTCCCTCCCCATCTCTCACGGCGAACAGGGAGCTCTCGCGCGTATTCAAGACCCCTCGACGGCACCGCTTCCGGAGGTCGGTCGCAAACGGCGGCGGCGGCGCGGGCACGAGCGGCGACCTTTCCAACTCGGACACAGATGGCGCCGGCATGGGCTTCGACGATAGCGACCAGGACCCCCTGTTGGGGAGCATTAGTGCAGTGGGGGCAGGGGCAGCGGGGGGGAGGGGACGAGGGGGAAGCTACGACCCCCGGGAGGCCGCTCGGCCGGACGGAAGCTTGCGCCGCTTTCTAGCCCTCGTTTGAGAGGAGAGAGAGGAACAGATGCATATCCCGAAAATCGTGCGTGCCGGCCCTGCGGGAAAATGTATTTTTTTGCACTGGGGAGCACGCGTGTATTTTATTTTTTTTGTTTGTTTGGATGCCTGTGCGCGCCCTGTGGTTTGCGGAATCGCAAGAAGTTCCTGTTTCGGAATCTCGAATGACTGCTGTGGAGCTGCTGCGGTTGACGACGTGTACCTTTTCTGCGTTGGAACCCTTCTGCTTGCTGTTTGTGTGGATAGGATCAAAAGGGAATATTGTGGCGGTGGTTAGTGGGGATTGTGCTGGATCTGCGCTGTCTCCGCTCTGTCACTTGAATTGGTTTGTTGGCGCTTTGTCGTGAGAGCGCACTTCCACTGTTTGTCTGGGAGTTGGCGGTTTTTTCCGCAACGCGTCTTATCGCGTACAGTCACTGTCGCTGTTGTTCAACAGTAGGTTTTCGAGGAGGGCTTTCGTGAAAGGTGGTGCTTGAAAATCCTCCCCCCGGGCGAGTGGTCGGTCGCTGCCCGCATTTTCACGAAGAAAAATTGTAATTTGCCGATAAGCGGATATTGTGATACGTTCATGGCTTCTGCGAGGACGAACGTTTCGTCCGGGGTAGACTCTCCTCAAGGAAACGACCAAGGCATGGAGGTTGTGTTTGACGTCATGCGGCCAAGCACGGATTGCGACGATAGGTTTCGGTGCGGTTGCGCGCGGCGGGAGACTTATCCTTTAGAGACAAAAACATGTCTCCTAATAGCGCCTTGGGTTGTAGGGTGATTGCATTTTGTTTAGTTTTTGAGTTATGGCGTTCTTGCTTCAAATTTGCACGCGCAGTTTAATTTGTAGCAAATGTCGTGGTTTCTCGAGGCAGGCTGGTATGTTTGAAGTGCTTCGGCGTTCATCTGTATCTAAATATGTTCCACGTCTGGTGCTCGATACCCGCGAGGCACGGTCACCATCATGTGCAGTGGAGACCACCCGGCTTCGGCGCAAGCAAGGTCACATATCGACAGTCCGTATTGTAGCGACCCAGCGTGGTTCGTCTGGCGGTCTGCACTTTGGAGGTTCTGGGCTCCGAAGATTAAGGCCGTGCAATGATGCGTGCATTCAGTCCCCCACCTGGAAACACGCGTACATAAGGGCCCTTCCTACTGCTTTTGTAGATGAAGATTGGTCCTGATGGTGCAAGTGCAGACTGAGTAATTTTTATCTCTCGGGCCCATATCCCCACCGCACCCGCACTCCCTCGCTGTTGCTTTTTCATGTTCAATGTGTATGTTGTTTCAATGTAGTTCTTCTCCAGAATGTACGTGCAAACGATCTAGACCATGTGTATCGCTTGCCTGCAGCAGCAGCAAAACCCAATATAGGTGAGCTGAGCGGAGAACCTCGTTTTACGTGGGACCAATTCCTCCAAAAGCTGAAAGTATCACCTCACGACAACAAGAGCGAGTCTAGTCTTGTAGTAGTCCTGCCGGGAGACGTCCTGGTCTCTACACGCTCTTACTGATACCTGGATCATGAGACCAGTCAAGATACATACGTGATCATAAAGCAGCATGTGCACACACCCCGTCTTGTTTCCCAGCCGTATTTTTCTGTGGAGTGCCCACTGCTGCAGTATTACATGATACGAAAGGCTGAGATTATATGTCAAGCTCGAACTACTTTGTACCTGTCCCGGTTGCCTATTCGGCACAGCAGATGGTTGAGATTCCTTCGAGAAATCTTTCGTTGTAGATAGATCCCTCTCACGCCTTGGTAGATTCCGACAGTCTCGTTCGGATGTTCAGAATGGAAGGTTGGATGCCGTTGGAATTACCACAACCTTTACTTGGTGATGTACGCAACCCGAAACTAGACAACGGAGTTCAAACCTCCCCTAGAGTTTATATAAGGACGCTGTACTACACTTTCTTGGGCCACGTCGATCGCAAGAGGCGGTTGCTTCCTGATGGCGGTGGGCGTTTGTCCATCGTAAACGTTGAACGGAGCAACGGCAACGCAGGGAACTCATGGGAGTGTGCCCCGTACAGCTGGTGCCGTGTGCCGAGCACCACCAGCAGTCGCGATCATCCGCATGTGTGTCCTGGACACGCGCCATGCGTGTGCCAGTTGGATCCGCAACCCAGCTGTCGTTCTTGCAAGCATATAGAAATGACTGTTTGTCGCCCTCCAACCACCAACGGGCGTATGGGAGTCCTGTAGTTCGTAGTTCGGAGGTCGGAGAGAGAGAACCCTAGGAAATTGTGAAGTCATGAAAAAATCTGGGCTGTCATAAATCATGAAGCCCCTGTCATGAGGGGACACTCAGCTCAGGCGGCTGGCGGCAGGTGGGGGAACGCAAAGAAACTCAAAAATATTCAAACTCGCGCGCACGCGTGCGTTTGTTTGTGAACACCGATGGAAACAACGGTGTCTTGAGCGAAACGTCCATCGCTACAAAAAGCAAACAAACCAAAGTGCGTTTTTATCCCGAAAAAGTAGTGAGGGATGCATCAACGCAAGGGTGTGCGAAAAAAACAAGTCCAAGGTACAGCAAGGACAGCTAATAAGTAAGGTACCCAGACAGTCCGATAGATCAGAGATCCCAAGGAGTGACGTCGAGCACCGAACGAAAGAACGTGGTGAGACAGACTACTACAACTGCTGTAGGCCCTCCGCATACGTTACGTTCCAACCGACCCAAAGGATACGTCAAGACATAAGCAACAGTACTGAACACTAAGGAAGGAGATGCGGTGGTATTTCCATAACACTCCACTTCAATAAAAGTTGCCTGCGATAACCTGCGAAATTTTAAGAAGCGTTTCAGAAAAATAACTGACAGCATATTCGGTGAAATGAGCCTACACAAATAAAAAGATAGATCACAACATGGTTCAGCAGTCATTAGCTACTGACGAAGGCGATGCTTGGTCAGGAATCTGGCCCGGATATCGGCGAGCTGATGATCCGCAGAAATGTAGTGGATGGTGAATGCGCCTTCCTTGACCAGCTCTCGAACATCAGAAGAAACGTATGCGATATTTTTCGCACAGTTCATGCTTGATTCCCGATGACCTTGGGAGGGTGGCCGTGCTGTCGATGTACAACGGTACGTGACCCAACTGCTGTCCGAACCCTAACTCAGTCATCAAATTGGAGCAGAAAACCGCTTCCTTCAATATCGAAGCTGCAGCCACCAGCTCCGCCCTCATGGTCGACATTGCCGTTAAGTTTTGTATACCTGTCTTGAAGCTCACGGGGGCTTTTGACATCATGATGATGTATGATGAAGTTGACTTAGCGTTGTCCGGGTTGCTACCCCAGCTTGCATCCAAGAATGCAGTCAGTTTGGAGCCTCCCGCTTGTACGTGATGCTGAAGTCTGTGGTTCCGGCAAGATACCGCAGGAGGTGCTTCGCAGCACCCATGTGCACCTTTGCTAAATAGCTTGGACACCGCGCGTGCAAGCTGGCTTGTAGCATACATCACGTCGTACTGAGTAGACTAATCTGAGCGAGATACATGATCGATCCAGTGGTGGCCTGGTATCTCTGTGTTTCCTCCTTGTTCAGAAGGGTCTCGACAGGCTGCTCCGTGGATAGTTCTGAACCAAGTCCTGGGATAGTCTAGTCGTGGGCTTGCATTTCTCGATACCAAAGCGCGCAAGAACAATGTGTAGTCGGCTTGAGTGATGGTGAGCGTTCCATGTTCACGATCGCGATTAACGTGCATTCCTAGCACAAGTGACACATTCCCCAAGTCACTCATCTGGAACTTCTCCGTGAGCTGCTTCTTTATCTCTTCCATCACCTCGACTTCCTCCAATGACGACGTAGAAGAAGCATCGAGGTGATGGAAGAGATAAAGAAGCAGCTCACGGAGAAGTTCCAGATGAGTGACTTGGGGAATGTGTCACTTGTGCTAGGAATGCACGTTAATCGCGATCGTGAACATGGAACGCTCACCATCACTCAAGCCGACTACACATTGTTCTTGCGCGCTTTGGTATCGAGAAATNATTGTCTGTTCTTGCGCACTTTGGTAGTGAGAAATGCAAGCCCACGACTATCCCAGGATTTATGTTCAGAGCTATCCACGGAGCAGCCTGTTGAGACCCTTCTGAACAAGGAGGAAACGCAGAGATGTCAGGCCATCACCGGGTCGAGCATGCCTCTCGCTCAGATTACTCGGCACGACGTCATGTACGCTACAAGTCAGCTTGCACGCGCGATGTCCAAGCCCCCCAGCTCCTTGCGAGCGCCTACGTGACACATGTACCGCGGTTTTCGTCGAGCTTTGAGGTTCTTCGTTCATGGGCGTGGAGGCGAGATGCTACCCCGGGCTTTGTGGCGCTGAAAATTGATTCGAGGATGTGGTGTAGATGGTGTGGGTTTCTCCAACAACAACACGTTTTTAGCGCAAGCATTCAGAGCGCATTATATTGCCACACAGTCTTTCATCTGTGTACCAGAGGTTGAACAGGTTTGACTTGCACCACTGATGCATACGATGAACAAAAATTACACACAAAATATGGGCAAAAGAATAAAAAGAAATGTACAACCGGGCCCTCCCAGGGGGTACATAAGGTTGTGCGGGATAACCTGTTTTCCCAACCCTTTATCAGAGAGAGTTTTCGCTAAACCGTGATTGATTAGCCCCAAAGTCTCCGCTCTCCACTGCCCTAAGACCCAATGACAACCGATCGCTGCACGTCTACTTGTATGTTGCTGTGTCTCGCAACGAAAAATGTCAAACCAAACGTCGAACCCAACAACGGTGACTGGTTACCACGAATAAAAGGAACACTGTATTCTCGACAAGCAACCACCGCCAGTTGGCCCTGTGAAGACAACAGCAGCACCTGCAGCAATTGGGGTGACATGCATCTGTGGAAGTCTGTGAATGCTTGGCCCTCCTCCTCACAGTTGAAATATGCAAATATGGTGCAACAGCAGCCAGGCGCACATACATCGGCACATCTCCTTGCAGCATACTTATACTCGTGACGTTCAAAGGCGACATCGTGGAGCGTCCAGCGCGTTCGCGGCCGTCTATGTTGACCAAGAGGGCGAAGGGTTGACCTGTAGCCCAATGCATCGCCCTTCGAATATCTTCGTTGTAGACTAGGCGTTTTTGTTCAACTCCTTTTTTTCCCGGCGTCTAAATCAGTGTGCCTCTGTACGCTGTTGCAGTATGTTGGTCGGCCCGTCTTGTTCTTGCTGCAGCTAATTAGCACATTAATGACACAAGTCACGTTGCATTTTCGGAGAGTCCCCTTGTATGTTCTGCAAATATCACAAGGCATCATCAGCCCGTTGCAGTACTTGATAATGAACTCGCGCCAATGTCACACTCATTTCTCACCCGTCAAACGCCATGACTTGCAGTTCCACCGGAGTTTCTGTTCTCGACACAACCATGTTCGTGAGTCTGCGAACATTGCTGTTGGATACATGTGCTGGATGATTTAGTGTCACGCAGACTGGTAAGATAACCGTTTGATAGGGGGCACCGCGATGATTCACGGGGCCCCTCCTTGCTGTGGGAGCCGCTCTTTGAGCACTCCCTCTTTCGTCCGTGTGAAGGACGGTCGTCTACCTCCCGTGAAGTTAATACATCACCAAAACAGTCTCACCCGATAAATAAGTGGCGTAGGCCGCAAACACT